GGGGTTAGTGGTTAATGACAGTCAAGTATACGAGTAGACACATGTACAGACACAATAACCTGCATTTAAAAATACATCATCTGACGAAAGCTTCAGTAGTGGAAACTCCCTTATTTTAAATGGAATTTTATGGGGAGAGAGAAGACGTAGTAACTATTGTCACAAGCATGTTGAGAAAAACGTTTCCACAAGTTCTTCTTAGGTAATACATTTATTATTATTATTATTATTATTATTATTATTAGTAGTAGTAGTAGTATTTGCGACCAGTCTCCAGGAATTTTACCTTGATTATAATGTTACTCTTTCCCCTCTGCCGTTCGCCTCTCACTCTGCCAGTCCTCACCGGTGTCAGGGTTGGATTCCAGTAGAACCAGCTGGGCTCTAGGACTGAAAAGCATCCTTGTTTAGGCAGGGAAAGAAATGGAGATATAGAGCTTCGTCTTATGTCCCTGTAGGTGAATGTGTGCTACGCCTATCGTTGTTTCCACACGTGAGTATGATGAATAAGGCGGATTACTCCTCCTAACAGTATTTAACGACTTTTTTTTTTTTTACCATAAGAGCTGACGTACACTGAAAAGGACAATATTCAGGCAGATACAATTAAATATTAATGTAACAATTTAAATAAAATCCTTCATTTTTTATTACTTCTAAAGCTTATTTTTAATCTTAGCTCTTATATTTGGTCTTAGGAACGCAAACATTGGTAAACCGGCATTAGGTAACTGGACTTGAGTGGTTTAATAAATGCAAATCGCCACAGCTTTGCATTTCGGTTTTGTATTCAAGATAAACGTTGCAACTGCAATACGGCCAGACATGACTGAAAAGCGCCCAGTCTATGAACTACGGAGTAGACAATTTCCGTACAATATACATGTTGTTTTTCTTTATTAACTGCATGAAAACTGTGAGAGCACCTAAGCGGAGCTTTTCTTGGCTTGGCAGGTGAGAACCTGGGACTTGTTGAAGGCGCTGGGTTTTGACACGTTTTGTAAATGTACCAGCTAGGTTTATCAGCACTGCCGGAACCCTCACGTCCGGTGATAGGAGCTTACAGCCATACACTGGCTTTAATGCAGTCCCACTGCACCATCGCTTTCTCCGTGCTGATTTACAGAAAGCACAGTTCATTATAGAAGCATTTAATTAACTAAGGTCTATAGAAACTTTTCGAGGGGTTGGTGTTCGAGCAGGAGGGGGAACCCCGGCACACCAAAGCTAAATTGGATTTGCGGTTTGATAAGTCGGTGGTCGTCGGTAATCGAAAAGGGGCACTCAGGACCCCGAAAGGGAGGCACTTTTAAATCGCTCGGGCAAAAGGGGCTGGCATTCAGGAAACCCTCCCTGCACATTCCTGCTCTGCACTGGATAATGTAAAAGATTTCAGCGGGACGTATGTAAGTTTAAGTGGAATTAACTTCGGCTCGTGCTCACTGGATTCGACCTCGCCCCATTAATTCATCGTGCCTTAATGCAGATCAGCATGAAGAGAAACAAGCGCTTCTCGCTTTCAAAAAGTCGCCTTCAGGCCTCTGGGTCACATAGACGGGGGAGCGCTGCCACCTCGTGGTAAAAACAAGAATTATGGCTTTCGCGTGCAGGTCTTAAATAAGAGAAATAAGCAGTGAAAAAACTCCATTTCCCAGCATGCATTTCATGCGTTGAGTTAACTTGTGCTGGACCTGCCTTTCTGCATCAGCAGTCACTGAGCATGCCTGCTGTCGAGATGCTCAGTAAAACCTCCCCAAAAGGCAGGGGTATTTCAGCCTGACGGCCAGATTTGGTTGCTATGGGAGATGGAAGAGAGGGGGAGCAAGCTCAGAGATGACACTTAGATGGAGATTTCTGAGGTGAGAAAAAAAAACATGATGCAGATATGCATGTGTGTGCGGGCGTGTGTGGGGACTGGAAAGAGGCGTGTCTGCCTCGCAGTGCCTCTACACGGTGGTCTGAGGTGTAATCTGAGCGTTTCAGGCAGGCCAGGATCCGCTGCGCGTTAGAGGCAGATAGCTTTCAGCTCACGAACAGGTGGACACCGAGACGAAAAGGGGGAGGCCGTGGTTCATGTTTAGTTTGAGAGAAAAGGGAGGAGGAGACACTGACAGAGTGTTTAGGAGAGTAGGATGACGAGACCACAAGTGAATTACTGCACCGAGAATATGTCTGATTCATGATCCACTAGCATCTATAGACATGAACACACACAGGTTGTGAGAGTGAATTAAGTCTGTTATAAACTACTTACAAGGTGCACTCTGCTGAAGATTAATATGCAAAGATTGCAGAGCCCTCATTTTTCAGAAATATATCCACTGAGTCCACTGTGTTGTTTTACTTTAGTGTGCAGGGATTTAAGTGTGTGGGCCTTTCTTATTTTTTTTGTTTTTATTTACACTTGTCTATTGTCTGTATTTTTGAGCTTTTATTTACGTCGACGATGAAAGTGCAGTTCTACACATTTACCGCCAGGGGGCAAACACACAATACGCCATACAGCCGGATTTCTGCATAGGGAACGGAGCACGCTGTGCTGTGTGTGGCAGGGGATTCTGTCAAGCACGACTCTCGTCCTTTGCGCATCAGTTTAACATTATTCGGGGTTGGTGTCTTTAGTTGTTCCCCCCTGGGGTATCCTAAGCTAGGTTTGCCTCTAGTGGCTCACTGATGAACTGTTCATGGCATCTACACATTTAAATTGCGAAGTGAAGTTTTAGGACTTTTTAGTATCAGTACCATGGTCATTCATTTCCACATCGTAATATATCATGTAGTTTTTGATATATTCTTAGAGTGAAATGAGCTTCTGTTTTCTTAGCTCCTGATTTCAGCCTTTCTGTTGCAATATGATTCATTCTGCAGCGTTTTGAAAATGTATGAAGTTGGACTGCGCTGACTCAGTGGAGCTTAATGATCATAGATGTTCTTGAATGTCCTGAGAGAGTGAGCATAGTCTCAGTAGGATGGGGGTGATTAGGTGGTCGTATGTGGCAATGCAGAACCTCTTCTGCCAAGGTTAAGTGTCATTTCACCTGAGGCACCAGTGCTGGGTTCGAGTACCCACAAACCCCTGGGGCCTGAAGTCCTTGGCAAACTATGTGCATGTAGCATTGGCTAGCTGGTATGGAGGGGGGCTGGCCGAGGTGGGGACAAACATGGATGTGTAGTGGGGGGGCGGTGTGGGTGGCTGTCTTACGGGTCCTTGGCCCCTCCCCCCCAGTCCCATCACCCAGAAGCCGGAGACAGAAATCTGTTGAGTGCAGCTCAGCCTGCCACTCCCTCTCTCACAGCCGTGAGAACCACAGGGCGCCTGCCGTCCTCTGGCAAACATACACACACACACACACACACACGGAGAGTGAAGAGAGAGCGAGGGGGCGACGGGAAAGCGGGGAGGATTTTCTCATTTCTCCCGAGGAGCTGAGTGGAAGATAACCTTGGTATAAGCATGGCAGAGGCACCGGAAGGGGAAGAGGAGATTCAGTTCTTGCGGACGGTGAGTGCTGGTCAGTCTGCTGGAGTGCCACAGTCTTTTCGGGATATCGGGGGGGGGGGAGCATCAGTGAAGCACAGTGAAGCATGGGCTGCTGTGATACCCGTCCCTTAAGTGTGGTCGGTCTCGTTTTCTTTGTGGAACCTGTCCGCATCTCCCTCAGTGAATACCCTGCCCCTTACCTACCAGCCAGTGAGTTTTTAAATGCTGAAATCCCAAACTCCACTGGCCTAGATATCGGGCGAGTGTGTCTGTTTGCCTTTAGCGCCGCGCTCCATGTGCACCGCGTCTCTCGTCTGCTCCTCCTCTGGTCCGTAGCCACCTCTGTTTTCTGTGCGTCTGCATTTGTCACTTCATTTCGGTACTGGGCTGCTGGTGTAAATGCCGCTCCGCTGCCGGCAGGCTCCGGGGGAGACCGGCTGTGGGGCTGGCCGGCTTGCTGATACCGGCTGCTTGGAGGAGACTTCGTGTGTCCGGCTCCCAAGCACTCTGCCCGTGCGACGGCCGCGTGGCGATGCCGGGGGCCTCCATTGGGGCTTCTTCGCCGCTGGGCTATTTTTATCATGGTGGCGCAGAGCCCCCGTCAGGCGATGCTGGGGGCGCGGAGGGGACGCGTGCTCCCCAGTTCGGCAGGGACAGCTGGCCGGGCCCTTCTTGCTGACTGTGCCCTCCCCAGCCCCCCCCGAGTGTGAGCAGACGTGAGCACAGGGGGCTCATACTTAGTGAGGAAATGGACTGTGCAGTCCAAAGTGGGGGAGAAACAAGCAATGTTCATTAAGAAACAAAGGACAGAGATGCATGAAACATGCCCTCTGGGTGCATCTCGGCATTTACGTTAATTTTTTGGATACAGCTCAAAGAATCACAAACAGAAGTAGCGTTCAGAAATAGCCTGTCTGGCACCCTTTGCTAAGGCGGCAATGGTGAGCTGTTGGGTTTTGCTGGGGTCAGAGGTCATAACGGAAGGATCTGATTGGTTGGGAGATCCCACTTACCGCCGCCCTGGGGTCTGGAGAATTCTGGGATTTTCTCCTCAATCCCCATTTGGAGAAAAGCAGGGACTTCCTGCACAGAGAATCCGGCTTCTCTGGGAATACCCCACCTAGTTTCTGTCCAGGCATTTAGGAATTAGGATGGGGGTGCCTTTTTCAGCTTATAAGCATGTGGGGGGGGGCAGAACAAGCCCCCCTAAGATTAAAAAAAAGGGAGAGAATGACAGAATAAGGGGAGAGCGAAGCACGTGGCGGGGTAATAATGTCAGTGCATATGAGTAATATGATAATTCCGCATTATGCACCCTGTTGTGTATTGTGTGCCTGGCCCCCCATCTGGGATGTTCTATACTGTGCCACCTGCTTTCTACTTGAATCCTGTATTTGTAGATTTCAGGGCTCTTCAGCAAAGCTTCCTTGTGTTTTGCATGCAAGCTCAAAATATTGTCAAATTGGGGAAGAGAATAAGGCCTTAGTTTTTTCCAGATATCTTCATATAAAATCATGGAAAATGCTTATAATGTTATGTCAGATGTCTTTGTTTGTCTACCTAGTTACCTAGTTAAAGAGGACCCGTGTTAGGCATTAAGCCCCCTGCTGCCGGTTCACAGAACAGCACACAGTGGCCGGCCCATGTGGAAGGCCTTAGTGAGGGCAGCTCTGCCATGTTTCCGTCTTGTACGATCTCAAACGGCCCGTTTATCGGCGTTCGCTCCCCATGACGGGCTCCCGCCGTCCTGTACGATCTCAAACGGGCCGTTTATCGGCGTGCGCTCCCCTTGACGGGCTCCCGTCGTCCTGTACGATCTCAAACGGGCCGTTTATCGGCGTTCGCTCCCCATGACGGGCTCCCGTCGTCCTGTACGATCTCAAACTGCCCGTTTATCGGCGTGCGCTCCCCATGACGGGCTCCCGCCGTCCTGTACGNTGCGCTCCCCATGACGGGCTCCCGCCGTCCTGTACGCTCTGAAACGGCCTGTTTATCGGCGTGCGCTCCCCATGACGGGCTCCCGCCGTCCTGTACGATCTCAAACGGCCCGTTTATCGGCAATCGCTCCCCATGACGGGCTCCCGTCGTCCTGTACGATCTCAAGCGGCCCTTTTATCGGCGTGCGCTCCCCTGTACGCTGGTAGAATGTGTTCCTAGATTCTCACACAAAGGTACTTTGAAGTCCAGACTGAGAGTCTGTTTGCTGTGTGGCTGGAGACTCCCAGTTGTTTTATATACACACGTTGAAGGCAAGTCAAAAAGCATTTATAAATATATCTGTACTTGTATATAAATCCTTCCTGACTTGCCTCTAGTACAGAATACAGAGAGGCTGGACGACCCTGACTCTCACCTGGCAAGCGGGCTGCTGCTTAGGTGCTGCCCCCCCCCCCCCCCCCCGTTTAAATTTCTTGGCCCCCGGGGGGGGGGGGCCGGGGGGGGGGGGCTGATGGTGTAGTCCTGTGTCCTACTTCGCCTCTCAGAGCACCGCGTGTAAGGGGGGGGGGGGGGGGGGCTGATGGTGTAGTCCTGTGTCCTACTTCGCCTCTCAGAGCACCGCGTGTATTTATATGTGGGGAGGGTCACGAACACTGCCCCTTTTCTTCCTTGGTGAGGCGCTGTGGAGGGATGGATGTCCTGGATGTTATCGTGATACTGAAAAAATCTGGGAGCGTTTGACTTTCCGGATTCCTTGGTATTCCTGCCGCATCCTCGGACTCTTATTTCCACTCAGTCCCCCCCCCTTACCGACTGTAAACTACAGACTGATATTAATTAGAGCAAAAAGCCCCCATGAGACAAGAGTGGGTGTCTGTGTGTGTGTGTGGGGGGGGGGGGGGGGGCGACAGGGTTGAGGTTATTCATACTCTGTAGTATTAGATTAACTGTGGGCATTGTAAAAGCTTCTCACTATGACTTCTATGACAGGATGTGTGTGTGTGTGTGTGTGTGTGTGTGTGTGTGTCAGATAGACAGGTAGTATGAATAACACCAGAGAGGATCTGACCATACGTGCGTTGAGTGTTGTGTGGGTCTGGCTCCGCATCGAGGTGTGAAATCAGCCTCTCTGTAGGCCAGCACAGTGTTAGATGAACACATCTACACCTGGGTTCAGAGTGGCCTCCTGTTCTTTCAGCGCCGTCCCGTCGGGGCCTTTTACGCAGAACAGATTCCCGCCCAGACACTGACCTCCGTCATTCTAACAGGAACGGTGACGTGTCTTTGCGGACAGCAAAACTCCTTGCTTCGTTGCGTCTCTTGTAAGCAGCCTGCCATTATCCGTGTGGACGTTTCAGATGAGGAGTGCGGGATTAGTGTGGGGGGGGGTGTAGGGGGGTTGGGCACATGGGCACTCCTCAGTTGCCCCACATGCTTTTCTCTCTGACAGGGTTGGAGATTAAGCTTACCAATTGCCTGAGGCAAGTACAAAAAATTAACACTAGCCTGTTGGCTGATAATAAAAAATGCAATTCTGCCTACATTTCTACTGAACCATCCTTGATGGTTAGTAGGGAAAATACTTAAGTTTCACCCCCCACCTCTGGGTAATTCCTCTCAGGTTCTTAGCCTGCTGTGTGAGAAGCTGGAAGCTGTTCCTGCCGCCTTTTATTGATTGTCGAAACGGCTGCAGTGTTGGAACCAGCTAAAGCTGGTGAGGACGTTAACAGCATGTGGCACATCTGGCCAGTTGTTTAAGCCACATAGCATTGCAGAGAACTTGAGCCTCGTTTTTGTCCTGTGCTGTGGGTTTGCTGTGGGAATTCCTGTTTGACTGGGAAGTGCTCTGACAGACTAGCTTGGTGATCAAAACATGAACTGAGGAGAAGCGTCCAGAACAAGCTCCAGAACCCACAGCTGTTCCGCGTTTGTTGTGACATTGTGCTTTTCAGACCTTTGCGAATGGGGCCTTACTGTAAGGATGTGTCTGTCTGAGTGGCGTGTGTGGACAGCTGGTTCCTGGTACTTGTGGGCTGTGTTTCTCGCCCACTGACACAGGGACTGGATGTCTGTTAGGCTTTGAATGGTGACGTTTAAGTGAGCAATGTGTCTGATGCTTTTTAGCAGGACAACCTGGTCACTTGCGTTTAAATAACCTGCTGTCTTTGTGCCCCACCTGAAGCATGTTGTAGATCTTTTTCGACTAGTCGTATGCTAACTTACATTTTTGACTGTTCATATCTCAGTTGCCATGGTATTAGCCATGGGGTGCTTGGTCTACAGCACTGCTCTGCCGTGGTGTTGGTGTGGTGGAGCGTGATGCGTGCTGGCTCCCACCCTGCCCCCCCCCCGGCCCCCCCACCCCTTCCCAGTGTGGCACTCCTAAGTATCTGCTGGTCAGCAGTCCAAGGGAATGTGAGAGTGACAGGTGTGTTTTCCGAAAATAGAGGGCCGGGTGTGCGGGGGGGTGGGGGGTGGGGGTGGCTTGGAGAGCGTGATCAAGGAAATGAGTAAGACGGGATGGAAGAAAATGGAGTCAGAGGCGGAGGGGAAAGATGGCAGGGGAGAAAGGAAGAGGGGATGTGGTGGGGAAGAGGGGATGTGATGGGGAACAGGGCTTAAGGCAGTGGATGATAACTGCCATTAGGCTGACAGGAGGCAGGGACTCAGTACGGGGGTGTGAGGAGAGGCGGGAGGGATCAACGATTGATTGGGCGAGACGGAAAGTTCTGGAACCGCAGATGTGGAATTTTGATGTGTCACGTCTATCGTATTTGTGGCTCATACTTTTCAGTCTGCTGAGCGAGGTAAAATGTAACATTTAAATTTAACAAGTAAATTTAATTTCACATCACTCAGCAGACATGAGCATGGAAGTCACAAATAACTTTTGGTAGTCTGAGTGAGGGAGGGGCGGTTTTTCAAACATCATATGTGAATAGTGAGTGTTTTTTGTTTTTATGTCGTAGACCATGTGTTAGAGCTTAAGAGCATCACGTCTTGGAGGGGAGCGCCAGCCCCTGGCAGACCTTCAGGGCTAGAAGGTGTTTCTGTGGGGAAAAATAAGAATTCTTGCAGTGCTTATGAATTTGCTTAATAAGGCATTTTCTGCCAGTCCCAAGATCTCATGGCTGTAATGAGGAATTGTGTGGAACAGAAGAGCGCTGTAAGGCAGTGCTTTCACAGAAATAACCAGCTGCACGTAAGGTCAGTATCAGATGTAGTGAGCTGTACCAAGGTAAAGCCGCAAGAATTGACTCAAGCCACTGAAGGGGTTATTTTTAGGAGCTTGGAGGAGAAGCGGAGGAAAGTTGAACATCCTGCAGAATGTTCTGGCTGAGCTGGGCTGGTCTCTGAGGAGGGTATCAGCATGCCCTACCCCTGCCTAGACCTCTTTGTCTCTCTGTGCCTCCTTGTACTCTGAGCTGCTGGATTTTTAACATTTCCGGGCAAGAATGTTCGGGAGCTCTCGGAATCGGGCTTCTTTGAAAAGACAGAGTCCTCCACGCTTCCTCCCACGCCGACTCCGACGGTTCTCCATCTAGCGCCCCTTAGCAGCCTGCCGTCTGCTCTTTCTCTCCCTCTCTCTGTCCTGCCAGCAGTCCTGCATCTAATCACCAGTTGGATAGCGAGGAGCCACTGGCAGGAGAAGGCCTTCCAGAAGAAGGTCCCAGCTGAGCCAGCTGGACCTGGCAGACTCTCCTCTTATTGGCTAAGGTTTCCTTTGCGGTTTGCAGTCATTCTCAGTATCACTTTGTGGGTCAGTTGTTTATGTTAATATTTATAAGCTTATTTAATTTTTTGGATTCATCCCCATTTTACCTGATATCCTTGCCTTACTGACAAGAACACTGAAATGATATTCTGGATATGGATTTTTGTAGGTACACAACAGATCTGTTTAAGCACCCAGTGATATTACTCTGGATCAGGCATGGCCATCCAATCGAAGGCCTTCTTCTAACAAGGTGATGTGATTTTAGGTCTAAGGTTTTGTCCACCTAGATGAGGAAGCCCTGCTCCCACAAGTTATCATATGTGAAATTCTTCAGAACACATTGGGACGCAGTAAGTTAATATGTCCCAATTCCTTGATCTCAAATTGCGAAGCTTCGGGTATCTCCTGAATTCTCTTCTCGTTTTCTTCTACCATGAACGTCTCGCGCACTAGTGAGGTGGTGTCAGCTGGCAAATGTTCACCTCTGCATGGTCCAGCATGACACACCCATCCAGACATGCCTCTGTGGCCACCTGGCCAGCGGGAATCAGTCAGGGCTGTCATGTTTGGATGAGTTCAATAGGCCGTGTCATTGAAGGCATCTGCACTAAGCTACAGCTCCTCAGCTGTTTAGTGTCCCGGCTTTGTCTGAATCTGGCTGAGGGGTTCAGGTCCCAGTAGACTGACCTGGAGCTCTGCGGGGCTGTTGACATGAGGCCACAGGTCCACAAAGGGCCGTGTTAAGCCTTTGGGTTTGCACCATTGTCCTAAGCAGTTTTTGGTATGGGGTTAAATCTGTCTTAATTGGATGTATATGACACCTAATTCTGTATTTTTACCAGAAGGCCCAACTGTATCTTAGCTGACTTTAATTTAACATCAATCTGTTTTGGGTCTGTCTGTCTGTCTAATCTATCTAATCATGTTGATGTTCATTCACTTGATTGATAACACACAATGGCATTTTACATTTTGTAATGTTTTGCTTGGTCTGGGGTTATCGCCTGTTTTCTGCTGTATGCCATGTTGCCTCTGTCTGGAAGGATTAGCCTTGCTGACATGTTACACACAACATGGGAGACAGAGTTTGATCTCATCATACATCCTTGGCAACACGCTGTTAATGAAAATAGAATCCGATTGATTTTTCTTTTTTTTTTCTCATCCGTGTGAAAAACAGTGAGGCCGTTTATGAAGAGTCATAGTAGCAGACCTGTAGAATGGGAATCAGAATCCTTTTATTCGCTTTTATTTGAACAAAAAGTACAAGGAGCTTGTTTTGGTGGTGGCATGAGTATACAATGTAAACATGCAGCTGAAACCAAACTTCATTTTCATTAAAAGAGAATAAGAAAATGTGCAAACATGTAGACTTATATAAGGGAGATACAACAAGGGGTACAGACAGTCTGAGGTATGTTCATAGACACAAAAGCAGGTTCGTTTTTTAATGTTCTTTTGGAATTTTGGGTGCCATGAATTTCCCATTTGCACCTTAGGTGAGTAGATGCACTTTTGAGGAGGTGGCTTTGTTAGCTGGGTGGATCTGAATCGGTCTGGCCTGTGTAGAGGTCCCACCGAGGTTCTTGGACGCTATTATGCTGTCATCTGATCTCTGGAGCCGGCTGACTGCTTTTAGAAGTAAGGAGCTTCGTTACACTTCCATATCGGGGGGGGGAGCAAAAGCCACTGACCGTCCCCCCAGGATCCTGTCCAGAGGTCCAGAGGACTTAAGTCACACCACTACTGGGTAAGCAGCTTTCCGCACAGGAAAGTGAGCTGCAGGTCATACGCAGGGCCTGGAAAACCCCAAGGTCCATCAAGTCAACACCTTGGGTAACACATTACACTAACTGCACCTTCATAGAGCATTCATTATACATTCATAGGACTTTCAGGGCACCTTCATAGAGCATTCATTATACATTCATAGGACTTTCAGGGCACCTTCATAGTGCATTCATTATGCATTCATTGGACATTCAGTGCAGCTTCGTAATGCATTCATAAAGCACCCATAGAACATTCATAAGCAGTATGTAAATATGCCTTAATATCATTATATTATGTGATTATACAGTTATAATATTTATCATATAATGTTTGTTATGATTGTATATTAAAGCTAGTAAGGTATGTTAGAATGTTCAAGTATACTTACAGGCTGCTTGTGACTGTTCGATGAATGCATTATGGACATTATGAAAGTGCAGTTAATGTAAAGCATTACCTAATGTTGACTAACAGTCTTACACTTAGATCTGTTAGTTGAATGTTTATTTCAAGGTGGGAACTGGATTTGTAGAGGCTGTTTCAATGGATCGAATATATAAGCTACTCAAATGGATGAATCATATACAAATACAACAGAGTGCTTAGATGGATTTTTTTGTCCTTGTAGGGAGATATCAAGATGAAAATCTGACTAAGATTGATACAGTTTGCGATAAAACTGAGCTAATACATCGAAAGGGGTGGCTTGGTGAGCTGAGGGCGGTTTAATGAGGAGGATGGAGAAAAGAGTGGGAATTGATAACAGCATCATGCTAATGATGTCACACGGGCGCGGGTCGTCCCGGTGTGCACAGGCATTTATGCCAGCTTGACAAGCGCTATGGACGCCAGCCATTTTAGAGATTTGGGTATTTAAGAAAGAGAAAGGCGGAAGGTGAGAGAGAGTGGGAGAGGAGAACGGGATGGAAGGATATCATTACCTACTGACAGACTGGTAGGAGCAGCTGAGAATGTGTGGGGCTGCAGGGTGGGGGGGACGGGTGCCCACTCGGTGGCCCGATAAGCTGCTTTGTTTGCGTTAATCTCAGTGTATAACCATTCTGTGAACATGCCTCTCGTTCGTCTTTGATTTATGTGTATTAAACCACTCCAGTGTCCATTTACCACACTCTCCTGTCCATGTGCCTTTTGACCATTTGACCCATGACCTCTCAACCTATGCCTGTTGACCACACCCTCCAGACCATGTGACCTCAGACCACCTGACCCCATGACCCTAACTGATTGTCCTTTAACCTGCCCTGTCTTCCCTAACCTCGATCCTCCTCCAGGAAGACCAGGTGGTTCTGCAGTGCACTGCAACAGTAGTGAAGGAGCAGATCAAACTGTGCCTGTCCAGTGAGGGCTTTGGGAACCGCCTCTGCTTTCTGGAACCCACCTCCAATGCCCAGGTACAGTGCCTGTCCCGCAGCTCTGTGCTTCACCCATACTGACCTTCACGGGCTGGGCTTTTCACTCCGCTTTCTGTGATGCTGCCACGCAGAATGTGCCGCCAGACCTGGCTATCTGCTGCTTCACCCTGGAGCAGTCTCTCTCGGTGCGAGCTCTGCAGGAGATGCTGGCCAACACCGTGGAGATGAATGAGGTAGGATCCAGCATGCAGGTAGGGTTCCTGTTGAGGGGGG